CAAACAGTTGTACCTGATACGATGGCCTCACAGGAGGCAAAGACAAACCATGTGAAGATATGTAAAACACAGGGTGTTCTGGTGACTGTAAAGCCTCTGGTGATATCACAGCTGGCGCCCGGGGCCAAGGCAGCAAATCACAGATTGACCTCAATCGGCTCCCTGGCTGCAGATACGAACGTTACACTACGCTCACTACGCTTCTGTCAAAAAGACACAGCATACATTTGATAACAATTAAGACAAAAAGCAGGACAGACGTGAACGTGAAGCACAAACACTTTACTAGCAGCAGCAGCTGCTTCACGTTCAGTGTCTGACCTGCTTTTTCAAATTCCCAAAACAGAGCAATTATACACATTTTTTCCAAACAGTTTTGCAATAAACAGTCTGAATTTATTCAGGCTAGGTTGTCGTCTTCATAAATTGGCAGCTGCTACAACAAAAGCACTGTTTTGCTGTGATTGCAATGTCACAGAACTGCAGGCGAGGTCACTACAAAACATAAGCAGCCTGGATTTTAGGAACACACTCTTTCCTCATAAAGTAATAGACAGGAAATCCTTCTGAAGTAGACTTTCCATTTAACCTTTTAGTCTCAACCCATAATTGACTTTCCTGTTTCAAGTCCAAGAAGAAAAGGTATAACATGAAAGGCAAAGGCCTCAAAAAGCAATATGTCCTAACAAATGAAGTTTGGGGTTTTTTCTAGCTTTAAGCGGTTTACTACTGCTCGCGCGGGACGAGCTTCAAAAAGAAACGGAGACGTACTTTCTTTCACTGATCACTCGCATCTCTATGATCCAGGTCAGGTAAAGTGGGTGTTTGTAAGTTTGCTCATTTATTATTGTGTTAAAATGCTTAAGTGAGGATTAAATGCTCCAACGAAGGCCTCATCCATTGATGTGTGTGTGTATGCAGCAGCACTGACATCAGCTTTAAGCCACCAGCATCTCCAGAAACCAGCTGATGGATAGGACTTTCCATCATCATTATGAAGGTGAATGGGCACTAAGGGTTATAGACATATAGATAATGGCAGCAGAGTGTGCCACACCACAGTACAGGACATAATACTCCATTGGCAGGATTTCATCTAAACCTCTTAAATGCCTGGCAGGGTTTTTGTCTCCATATAATGCCGGATAATAATGCCGGATAACGTTTGAATCGTGTTCGTCAGCAGCAGAGAGGAATATACTTTATTTCGCAAGAGAATCCTACTTAAGGTCGACTGATTTCAAGGTCGACAGCAAACTCACACTTCACACTCTTCCACTTTGTGATAAAGACTGCAACAAAATAGATTCAATCCAAGATCGAGACTGAAAGTTATTTAAATCTTAAACTAACAAAATTATACTTTTGTCACACAAGAATGAGAATTTGTGTGCGTTGAGATCAAATTACACTATGTGTAAGCAATGGAGAACATTTTAGACAAATGAATGAATTGCTGTGACCATCTGTGAAATTAAGATTACTATTACTACCATTATTAAAACTCTAGTTCTAAAACTCTAGTTAGTTCAAACCCAGCTTCTATGGAAGCAGGAATATGAAAACACAGAAGTAAAATCTAAAGTTTGACAACTGTGAGTTCAACCAACAAAAGAAAAGGACAGGGCACCGTGGGGGGTAGTAAGATGTAGTTCAAATACATGCAGTGTATTTCTCATTTTATAACAAGAGGCGAGCATGAGTGCATAACTCTGCTAAGCCCACACTGTGCAAAAACCTCTTATATCCAAGATATCCAGATTGGTTTGTGATGGGTTTTTCCTTGAGAACATCAAGCTGTTTTTGAGAAGATATGGTGTGAAATGTCAGTGCAAAGATAAAAAAAAACAATTCAATTCCAAAAATTCCCCAAACTAGATCCTTATCATCTACTCCAAAGCCTTTGATATAACTCTGATGAATATCTGTGTGCGTCTCTTTCAGGCATCCCAAGAGACA